GAAGTTCACAGGAGCACAGGGGCTGTAGGCAGTGTTAGTGGGACACAGCGCCTTCTCATTCTAGGGCACCTAAATAAATCCAGAATTACTCGCTCAGACCAAGAGGCACAACTATCTGCTAGCTGGCTCACATATTAAAAATACTGGGACAGAGCTGATCACAAACACCACCACTGTAAAGTGAAACTATCCAGACCTGTTGTCACTGGGTAGGAAAAAAAAAAAAAAAAGCCAGGACAAGTAGGGGGGGGGAGAAAAAAAGAAAAAACCACACAAAACAATTTTTTTAATGTTTTACAAAATTCCTGAAGTTATAAAGCTTTTAGCTCCTTGTCACTGAAAGTTATTCTTCACCTCATTATAATGGGCATATTTCAGTATTTAATGTCATTAGAATAACAAATGCTGATTTTAAGGAGTTAGGAGATTAAAAAGATGGTACTTAAAATGTAATTCAAAATGTTACATTATACATGCCATGATGAATCTGCAAACATGCTCAGTTTCATTAAGAAAAAAAAAACCCTCTTGTATATAGTGCGCTTCCTTCATACTGTCAAATTATTTATTCCTTGGGCAAATGAATGAAATAAAAGATAGCACGAAATTTCTTATAATAGAAGCAAATTAATTCTGGGCCCCACAAAACCTGAAATAGCCATTTATTTGAGAGGTTTAATGTTCGACCAACAAGGCAGTCGAATACTAACGATTTGCCACCAGTCTTTCAACTAAGTTACAAAGTCAAGAACACTAAGATCTCCAGAAGACGCACTCTCACATCTTCTAGAGAAACACAAAAAAATTTTGTTTTCTCAATTAAAAGACATTACAGCAATCCCACAGAAATTGCAGGGGTAAGACAGAAAGATCTCTTTGCAAGATCTTTACTACTCAGAATTAATCAAAGCAAAACAGCCATCCCAGTGATAATCCCCTTTAGTGCTTCACAGTTTATGCAAGTCAGTTACTAAAGAGGATGAAAGACAAAACAATCTTTGCAAATAGGTCACTGTCTATATTTATAATGATTAAAACCAGCCTGCTACTAGAAGTAACTTTAATAAGCATAAAAAGTAACATTAAGACAGTGCATGCATTTTACTCTTAAATAAATTCTATGTCGCCTATGACAGAGGAGGTAACACTCATCAGAAACAAAGTTATTTCACATAGGTTATGCATTAGCATTGCTGAAAGCAGATTTTAATTTTTGCCTGTAACAATTCCAAAGTATCACCCTCATAAAGATAACAGCTAACCATTCTTGACATGATCTCTGAACTTACCCAACTCCTTCCCTGTCTGCACGCCTTCTCTCTCAAAACTTGATTTTAGATTTTACCTGCAAACACTGCCCAAAGCTCCTTTTCAAGACCACTTTTAATGTCTTCCACTTTTGCTTCAACTTTCCTTTCCTGTTTAGGCATGCCTAAACATCTAATATTTTTCTTCAGAACAATTAGTCCGGGCTCTACTGCATAATGCAGACCTCCCATCTGCTTCTTTCAAGTATTGTCCATCTTCTGCTACAGAATTCTCCTCTTTCAAAATTTTCCATTTTCCCCCATCCCTGGCCTCTCTGAGGGGTATTTTCTGCCCTTCCCGTGGGATCAGGACATCACACCTGACACCATTTTCCTAAAATTTTATTGGATTTCATTGATTCACAGCTTCCAGTGCCAGCACCATGTCAGCGATTCTTACACCCAGCTGTGCACTCCTGAACCATTTCATTCAATTACCATTCTACCTGTAATTACCACCTCCACCAGAGATTTAAATCTGGTTATACTGGAGCCTGTTTCCTCTCAAGCCCCATTTCCTCTAATCACCTCCAGCCTTCCTACAGTTCAAGTCCATAAACTAACATCTGATTCTTACAAGGCCTTTTGCACCAGAGTTGCACCCAAGAGCTGGAATTTCTTTGCATAAAATGTCAAGAATATTCATTACCCAGTCCTGATCTTTCTCTTGATCAGATCATTTGCTTACATCTTCATTAGCACATTCTTCTGCTCACACTGTCACCTCTCTATCCTTCATTTCATATAATGTTTCAGCTGCTAAAAAATCCTTTATGCAGTTACTTTGGAGACTCTGGATCTTCCAGTATTTCCACAGCCAGCAAGCCGATGAGCTCAAGATTGTACAGCTGCAGAACCTGCACTTCATTACTGGAAAGGAGAAGGAGGATAATCTTCAGAGAATAAATGTAGCCACCTCTTAGAAGAATCTCAGACCAGAAGCATTCCTCTGCATCCCATACATTTGTACTCAGGATACTGAAAACACACCGAAGGGGGGGCTAGGGCTGAATACTACCACCTCAAGCCCCACACAAAATCACCTACACAAAGGTATTATTGTTAAGGTCATTCTAGCTTCCAATCTTACAAGTTTAAGAGAAAACACCTGTAGTTAGAGTTTATTATAATGCAGACTGCATAAAACCGAACTCCACAGCAGGCAGGGGAGGGAGAACCACAGTCAGTCTTGTGAAGTGAAATCCTGTTTGTGAGTGAAAGCCGGGAACTTGATGTTCTCACTACAGACTAAGAGCAATAAAAACAGCTTTCTGAGCCATTAATTTCTGCACAGCTGATCTCTACTAAACAATGCTCATTATTGAAAGAATTCTAAAAAAAACGCGAGGCTGTTCCAGCAAGAAGGCTGGCACTCTGAATATCTAGACTGAGCTAACGGTGACATCAGTGCTACTGCGGCTTTAATCCCTATGGCTACTAAATGTCAAACATTTTCATTGTATTTAAAGAGCTTGCGATTGCGCACAATGAGATTAAGTTACTTCACAGTTTTAGAATAAGGCAACTGCAAGGCCCAGCGAGCATCCCCATTCTTGTCGCCCAAGACCGTGATAACGGCAAGTTCTTCAGTAACATCAGTCAGAAGCTGCCAAGCTTTTTCCACAGCTGAAACGTGGCATTTTTAGGATTTGTAATTTTTAAGCACCATGAACACTCTCATCTTCAGAGCTTCCATAACCCAGTGAAGTGTACAAATATATGCATAGCTGCTCCACTCAAATCCAAACTTATAAATAGGTTGTAGCGTTGAGTCAAGTGTATTTGTGGGGGTGGGAGGAGGGAGAAAGGTGAAAAGACTAAGTGTCACTCCATCAACAGTCACAAAGTCTGGTGGAAACTGAGCAGCAGGCCATATATTTCTTACTGTTTGACAAAAGACATTAATTTCATCTACTTTAGAGAAGGACATGCATCAAATTGTAGTCAACACAGTAGAAGGAACTGTCTTAACATAGAATATAAACGTTAGTGTGGTAAACTATTTAAAGTAGGATATACTTTCTAAACATTCCTCAGTATTTTCATAATTTGTTTGGCAAACGATTACTATGGCAGTAGATGGGCTACTACACACGCTTCTAAAATAAATATCTAATAATTATTTTATCCTTCCAAGTTCAAAGTGGCTCATATCAACTATCATGAGCTAGGACACTGCTGTAAATGAAGTGCAAGAAAACTGGTCAAATTTCACATTGCATAAGCAAGAAATTACTAAAAAAAAAATTAAATTCAATAATCCTATTTACTCCTTATTATTTGGGGGGGAGTGTTAAAATAAAATGGTCATAAAAGATACAAATATTAGAGGCATGAAGTCCCATTACTAGAGAAACTCTGAAGTTCCACAATGAGGCCAAGAGTAGACTAGGATACTGAAAAACTACTGATTCTGAGTATTTTCAATATGTATATATATATGAGCTCATACTGTTCAAGACTACATAAATCACCCCATCTTGTAGCTTTAAGATCTTCCCACACTCATTAAGTAAGCAGCTTTGTCTTAATTGTGTCTTATTAGCAAACTACTGATTCACAGCTCTCCATGGTAAGATTTTTATTTCTAAAGTTAGCACCAACTTTTATTTGAATACCACACTTCAGTAAGTTCCTTTGGTACTCTGAATACATGCTAGCAAGTAGGATTTACTATAATGATCAGTTTGTACCCAAGAAACAGCAGTTTCACATTACAGAGTAAGAAAGTTCAAGACTAGGGAGCTTTTAACCTTAGAATTTTAAAATAATTTACATCTCCCTACAGAAAGATGGGGGGGGGGGGAATTATCTATATACACACACATACATAATTATACATATGTACATATACATCATTAGTTCAAGAACAAACATGGATTATAATAGATTAATTAACTTGGTTACCCATACAAGAATTGACCTTATTACCTAAGACAGAGTGCTAATCTTTTGTTGGGGGTGGGGGAGGCCTGTTAAAAAAAAAAATTAAAATGGGAGAGAAATCACTTTACTAAGGAAAAAGGCCATCAATGCTCAGTTTTAGCCTGAAGTGGGAGTACATCATTCCTGAGATTCTTCCATACTAATTAACAAACTCACATGTTTGGAGTTTTAATCCAGAGTAAAGTTGTGAGAAGCAGAATTGGCAAGGCTGACTCATTACAACAAGAGTCTACAAACAAAATAATCAAGCCAGAAATTAAACTCCATATAAGTCTTAAGTGTACCATTTTTAAACTATTAAACCCACTAATACATCAATTTACAGCTCTTACGCTATCTATACACATACTTAGGAAAAGCTGACAGTAACTAGCACTATTATTTCAACGAGCCAAGAAGTGAGGAGTTACTGCAGTAGACTCCCTTCCTCTGGAAGAAAATATAACCCAAATTCAGTGTCATCTCAAAACAATCTTAAAAAAAGAAAAAAAGCATTTCTGTAACATTCAATCACAGGATAATGTAAATGGAATTAATCCCCAAAGCAAAAGTATTCCTGCAAGGAACAGAGCTATACACATCAACTGTTTAGACTTCAATAACCAGTTCATGCTGAGATAAGATATTTTTACTTAAACAATCTGAATTTATTGGGAATAGATCTCAAAACAGTAGCAAGCAATTATGGCAATAAAGAAATGAAAGAAAAAAACCACACAAATCTACAGGGACCATTTTTTAGCTTACCTGCACTTGTTCTGTGGAGCTACTACTGAGTTCATCTCCAGACTCTGAATCTTGGTGAATTTTTTCTGGGAAAGATTGTTCATGCAAAAAGCTGGTCTTCTCTATTTCCAAGAACTCTGGACATGGAAGATGACCCGTGGAGATGGTTCTATACTGATTGGAAACCTTGGGAGACTGCAACTCATTGTTAAGTTTTCCATTGTTTTGGGTAAGGTCCAGACTCAAACCAAGAGTTTGACCAGGGCTAGTGTTCGGTCCCAGATTTTGATTGGCATCTCGAACTAAGCAAGACACTTGAACTGGAGAAGATTTTCCAAAACTAGAAAGCTCTGGTGACTTATTCACATTTTCAGTTGACCTCTGTAATCCATGTGTCAACTTCAAAGCGTTATTTGGCAGCATGCTTGCTTGCTTAACAGGTGGCATCAGCGCTTTTCGTGGTATTTCCTTCACATACTGTGCTGGCACATAAAAGGGTTTTGAATTTTCATCTCTTTTGACTTGCCACCAATCATCATTAGTCTTTTTCACTAAGATGTATTTCTCCCCTTGCTTAATCACAATTTTCTTGTCCTTGGCCTCATACTCATAGTCGTACTCCACTTCAATGTACAGTTGTCCTGGAAGGATCTTCCCACCTTTGTCAGCCATTTCTATTTGAAGAGATTTCACCTTTTCAGGCAAAAGATAAGCCACATTCTGTTTCAGAAGTGTTATTTTCCTGTTAATAATCAGAGCTGTAAGAAAAAAATAAAGTAATTGTCTAAGAGCACTTCAGAGGAAAATAATTTCAAAAATAACCCTGCCTATTCAATTTATGTCAACCTCAGAGTAATAAATTGATGGAAAAATGCAAGATGTTCAGATACCTTTCTCAGTGATAAAACAGAAAGTCAGTAGAACAACTTAGTCACCGATTTAACTCTCCTATTCACGCAAGTCTCCTGCTATAAAGTTGCTCATTAAAGCTGTTGTTTCTATTACTAAATAATGTTGATCACCAGGGGCTTGGTGGGGGGACTAGTCCGAGTCCATCTCTTGCTTACACACAGGCTTACTTGCTTCATGGAACTGTGTTACTACACTGGTTTTAACCAAAATATTCAAAAGGAGAAGATTATTATTTGCTTATTTTGATTCCTCTTTCAGTTCGATAGTTTCTTCGGAGTGCTCAAAATCCCTTGTGTCTTGCTCCAATGCTACACCTCAGTCATCAGGTTCAGCATGGGCTGGCAATCCTTGACCCCCGTGTGCTGCACGCTCCACAGAGCCTGCTCACCTTCCCCTCACCGGAGCAGAAGATGACCAGGGAGCTGTGCAACCCACACTGGCTGAGGCTGCAGATCATGTTGCCTCTGCCTCTCGCTGTTGTCTACAAAACATGCGGTATAATCACTTTTTTATTTATTTCTTTAAATTGCTAGTGTAACTGCAACATAGAAGTTCATCTATAACCACAGTAGTATTAAATAGAAGTATTTAACATTTCCAAGATACTTTGGTTTCAGTGGTTTAAATTCTGCATATTTCCTTTGCTCTTAATAGAGCTTTTTGTGGTATTTACTTTACAGAAAACCTGATCTAACCAAACGTTTAAGGGCTAAAACAGAAAACACAAACAAAAACACCAACAATAATGAAACAGGATTAAAAACAAAAACCAAAAATGGATAATAATGTAAAGGATAATACATGAAAATATTGAAAAGGACTTTTAGCGTCTTATAATCCAGACAACCACCATTGTATCCGCACTCATGAATTACAAGTTCTCTCTATTTAATCATATAGCATCAATGTCACAATTCATGAGTGGATAAGCACCAGTCTTACCAACTTACACTGAACACAACATAGTAAATTAACATGAAAGATATGATTTCTTAATCTTGAAAATTGAAGCATGTAAGTAAAGGGGAAGATCTCTAGCATTCAAATAGAATGTCAGAGAATTCAAGTAAAATGCTGCCACGTTTAATCTTATAAAGATTAACAAATGAATCCTTTTTTAAAAAATGCATGTTTCACAAATGAGAAAAATTATGTAGGAACTTGCAGCTCTCCAAGTTAAGATTTTGTGATGAGATTTGTAGCATTTACTTTGCCACAGAGTGGAACTAATGCAAATCCATGCAGGCACACACATGCAGAGTGAACTCAGCTACCCTAAACAGGACTAAGGACAGAAACAACAACAACAAAAAAAGACTTCTGGGAGAGCTGAAGCAGAAACCTCTAACAGTTCTTCAATTTTTCTTTCACCATTTCTGCTATTCGGTCTGAGCCTGGGGGCGGAGGGGGGGGGAGAGAAATACATTTCCCACATAACTCGGTAGAAAAGGAAGAAGCTGAAAACCTCAAGTATGAGGCCAAGACAGAACTGCCCATCTTTCAACTGTGTCTTTCTCCCACAGTCCATCTTCTTTTACTTCCAGGAAGCACCTCCTATAGGTAACTCGAAAGCTACCATCATGTACAAGACACTAAATGGAATCACAACGTCAGACTTACAATATTATTGAGGACTTGGCAGAAGGAATGATGGTACCGCATTCAACAAAGCTGACAGTAGGAACATAAAGCAGTAGAAAAGAATGCTAGGATTCTGGTGTTTACTCTCTCTACCATAAAATGGTACATTGACATTCACAGCATTGTAGTCTATTTACAGCCTCCATACAAAACAACTTGCTTACCTGCTGTTCTACATAAACAGGTATTTTTAAGTGCAGCTCTGCAGTTGTTTAGTAACTGTAGCAGAAGGTAAACATGAACAAATTGCAGCCATTCCCACTCTCTTCCTAGTTTTGGAAGCTCTGCCATACAAATGTTATTTTTTCCTTGTTACTAAACCTCACTCCTCCCAACACTTCTTCGAAGCTGCTACCAACCCCTTTCATGGCTCCAAGGTCATATACCAGAAAAATGCAAGTGTTTCGGAGTTACAGTCTACCTCTAAGGTCTGCTGCCTTGGAAGTTGAAATGTAGGACGAGGACCCATTCACACTGTCTTCCCTTCTCCCACACAGAAACCAAAATGAGAACATAACCCTATGGTTTCCCATAGAGCTACCAAGTGTTTAAAAGCTTGGATTTTTCATTTCTCTTTTGCCAATTCCATATAACTATTTATTGAGAATGCATGCTTAACATTTTTTCAAGACAGACAGGCTCAGTAAGTTGCATTTTATGCTTAAAAAATAGCAGAATTTTGAGAAATACAAGTTAAATAAAATACAGTAGCTACAGAAATAGCTCTATCCACTTTTGAGGTCAGTTTTGCAGCCTCATCCCTTTCAAAAAAAAAGAAAAAGAAAAAAGAAACAACAAAAATAAGCAGCATGGTTTTTTGTTCTTTCATCCAAGCTGCAAAATTATCAAGTCAATAGCAAACATTTGGTAAGGTTGAACATACGATCAAAGAGACAGGCTGTGTCCTGTGTTTGGCCAGAACACTAAAGCAGTTTTATAAACAGATCACATCATCAGGATCAAGCAAGGCTCTAATTCTCCACCTCAGTAGAGAGAAGCAAGAGGTACCTATGGTATAGGTGGGAAACCTTTCTCAGCAAGTTTAACAAGTATTAACGTTAACCCTGTAGGTCTCCAACAACCACCATGGCCTTGATTTCACAGAACCAAATGCATTAAAGTTTTATTTTGTTTGAATTTTTTTAATGTGGCTGTTGTGCCAGAGACGGTAGACTGCCTCTACCCTATGCGCAGCCTAGGGGATAGCTAATTGTAATGTCCTTTCAAGGGTCCGTGTACCTGTCTCATCGAATTCAGGTTAAAGAGCCATGGTAGCCTTGGCCAAACTTCTACTGTAAGGGGCTTAGAATAATTCAGATGTGAACGCACAGTATTGACATTTGGAGTACTGACTTCACTGTGCTACCAGTCAACAACTGAAGCGATACAGCAGGTCACACCTTGTAACCTCACTGTATTTTTTTTTTTTTTTTACCATCACCTGTAGTGCTGGATGGCACCCTCTTTGGTAAAGAAGGTTGAAGAACCATAATTAGAGGATGGTAAGCATGAAAAATTATTTACTTCCACAGAGGACATCTGTAAGCTTTAATACCTTAAACAAAGCCTCAATACCCGATTCCCCATGTGGAAATACATTCCACCCTTTCACAGAGCACTCGTGCTGCCCTAAAGAGCGAGGACGCTGGTGACTATATACACAGCCCTGGGCGCAAGACCCAGAGCAGCCACGCTCAGGAAGCAAGCAACGAGAGGGTCTTCCACTCAATACCCACACGTAGATCTTTTTGGGCTCCGATTTCTGATGGGAACCATTCCCGCCTCTTACGCAGCTAAGGCTGAGCAAGGCTGGCACCCCTGGGTGTTTGCAGAGGTCAGCTTCCCCCCCAGCTCCCCCGCCCCAGGCCGCACCATGCCCCTCCACAGCCTCTCCCCACCGCGGGATGCAAACGTAGCATTGGGGGTTTGCATGCAAACATTGGCCTCTAGCTGGATTTCATGTACATCCACACAAATCAGGACCTTTTCTGATTAGATCCCAATGTGACAGCTTCAGCCACCCTTAGGCAGGCTGGGTTTGGAGAGCTTTAGGTTTGCTCAGAGGTAGGCAGGCCTTTCCTAGGGCAACTTAAACCCTACGGCAACACGGTCACCGCCTCACAGCACTCAATCTTAACTGTAGAACGACCCTCACTAAATTTTGCACATGCAAACAGTCTTGAAAGAAATAAGGTCCTGACACACACAGACAGGTGTATATAGGTGTAATCATATATGATGTGTATATAACATGATCATATATCGTATTAGATATGATCACCTCTAACTTCAGCATTATCTTAGAACTAAAGACCAAAAAAAAAAAATTGGGAGGTACTCAATAGGTGTTTCATACCTCTCTTTTGAAATTATCAGGCACAGAGTATTTTCTTCTGATCTTCTAGAATCAGGTAATTGAGACGAGATATACTAAAAAGACTTTTTGCTATATCTTTTAATTTCTTCTTGGAAAAAACCTTACTCACTATGGCTATGGAATTGTTACTTACTTTATAATACAAACAGATAAGTTATTAAAAATGCCACTGAGGATATTAACCAATCGCCTTAAAATTCTTTGTGTGACCTTGTTCACGGTGTCCTACAAAGCAGCAGCAGTTGACTTGTGTAATCTTTTTCCATTTTCAGCATCAAACTTCACCCACTACTTAAATGAACCCTTCCGCAGTGCTGATACAGAAATAAACTCAATTACTGAAGCTAAATTAGGATAAATTCTTACCAATTCAGGCCAGATGAGATACCCTGGCTACAGCTCTCTAGATTCTATGATTCTGCTTCTCCCTGGGCAGCTTGCTTAGGGGTTCAAGCTGTATTTATTGCATGACCACTGCTTGGAAGACTGGTCCCACAGCAACCTTGTCAGAATTCAACCCTATTCATACCTTTCTTCCCACGGGGCACCACTCTTTATCCAGCACCACTAACTCCGCAGCTGATATTTTCATGCTGACAACCAGCCCTCGCCGGTGCCTGTAAAAACCACCATCTGCGAAGCGTGCATCTAGAGCATGCAAAAGTTGTACAAAAATAGATGCAAATGCAAACAACAAATATAGACAAAACACAGACAACTTATAAGCTTTATGAAAACAAGC